CAATAGGATACAGGATACATATTCCAGACTTGCTTGCTAACAGTCACCCAGAAGGACAAGAGAGTGACCCAGGCCTTTGTTACTCTGTACTTGTGTCTAACCAACAAAGACAAATTGGTTATGGAATTAAAAGTGTCAGGAACTTGGAAGAAAGAGTACATGTCAGTGTCATGTTTGTGAGAGCCAGGGAGAGTTAAGCATAATCAGACATGCACCAGGTTACAGAGAACAGATTTTAAAAGATGTGTGGTGGAGGAGGTGGTGTTGGGAAATGGCCCTATTTCATGCATCAACTATGGAAAGGAAGATAGTGCTAATGAGAATTAGAAAGTTCTCTCAAATGACCTAGTGGGGAAGAGAAGGTAGTACGTAGAATAAACCATAGCAGCTACTCAGGATTCCCTTTGATGTAACACACTTTAAACTGTATCTTTAAAGTTTAAATGTATATATTAATGGTCATCTTTGCAGGATGAAGTGACTGAGGGGAGCATGGATAAGCTTCTGAGATGCTGGCAATGTTGGGTGTTTAGATCTAGGTGCTGGCCATCGATGTGCATTTACTTGTGAGAATTTAGCAAATTGTGTTTAAGATCATTACAACCATCTACATACATGTTATACTTCAAACTGATTGTGCTACAGTTTTTAAGATTTAATATATTTCCTTCAAAACTTATTTTTCTTTTTTTTAAAATATATTTTACTGATTTTTTACAGAGAGGAAGGGAGAGAGATAGGAAGTTAGAAACATCGATGAGAGAGAGACATCGATCAGCTGCCTCCTGCACACCTCCTACTGGGGATGTGCCCGCAACCCAGGTACATGCCCTTCACCGGAATCAAACCTGGGACCTTTCAGTCCGCAGGCCGACGCTCTATCCACTGAGCCAAACCGGTTTCGGCCAAAACTTATTTTTCAATGCTTATGTCTGCCTGTTTGTTGTAATAAAAATTGTACTTTTCTTTATTCATTAATTTCCTTATGTGTACTATTCCATGCAATTGCATAGCCCTGTAATCATTTTTGTTAACAGCTTGGTAATACTCCACTGTGTGGTAGGCCACAAATTCCTTTATCATGTCTGTAGGGCTAGATAGATGTGGTGCTCTTCGTTGTCACGTTTATAAAAACACCAGAACCAACATCTTTGAATATAAAGGTTCTTCTACATTGAAGGTGATTCACTGAGAATAGATTCTTAGAGGTAAAGAGATTAGATTGATTCTCTTTAAAGTCTTGATACATAACTACAAATTACCCCCAACAGTGTTGGCTCCTCAAACCCTTGCCCACAGCTATATTCAACAATCACACACAGAATTGGCAAGTTTTCTAATGTAATATTTACAAAATCTTTTTTCTTTGTCTTAATATGAAGTGGGAAGTCCTGCTGACCATCTCTGGTCTCTTAGCACCTCTCCTATGAGATTCAACTTCTCAGTGATGATCATTGTGGTACATGATGATTAGCAGATCTTCTTCAGTTCTCTCCAGTTGTGCTTTCCTTAACTATCTCAGGCTTCAGTTCACTGACCTTTTAACCAAAGAACAAAAATGGAAGCCAAGAAGATGTGAAGAAGTTTGCTTTTTCTACAATCATGAAAACAAAAACAAAAAACTAGTTTGATCACCTTTGTCATCATTTTTAAGTTTTAACTCATTTGTGACATAAGCTTTTTTGGCATCCTATGTAGAGATTTCTACTCTATTTCTATCTTTTTATCAGTTATTCTTCCTTTTTTCCGTATTCCGAATGTGTTTATTAAAAAATTTTTTCTTGCCGAAACCGGTTTGGCTCAGTGGATAGAGCGTCGGCCTGCGGACTGAAAGGTCCCAGGTTCGATTCCGGTCAAGGGCATGTACCTGGGTTGCGTGCACTTCCCCAGTAGGGGATGTGCAGGAGGCAGCTGATCAATGTTTCTCTCTCATCGATGTTTCTAACTCTCTATTTCTATCTCTCTCCTTTCCTCTCTGTAAAAAATCAATAAAATATATTTAAAAAAAAATTTTTTTTCTTGAAATATAGCATACTTCAAATATCATATGAACACCTCAAATGAATACTTCATATATTAAAACCATAATGTGTCATATTCTTTTCACAAATCTGCATTTTCCATCTTATAAAGTAAAACAATTATTTATTTTAAAAAGGAACACTTTCAGTATAAAAACAGAGAGGAAAGAAAACACTTGTCCCAAAGAACAAGTCATGGCAACCCAACCTTCTTTCTTTAAGAGAGTTCTTGGGCTGTTAGGTTAGAGAAATACAATAGACAGGGAATCCATCTCTGAAGTAAATTTGACCCTATTCCCAAGTTATTTTGTGGGAATATGTAGCACTAACACCTGAGTGACAAAGCACTTGGGGAGATGAGTAACTAGTTCAATACTGATGAACAGATGAGTGCCAACGTGGAAGAAGTATTCTAGTGCATGCCACAGAGCTCTACCATTGGCCTTTTTCAGGTTCCTACTTAATTAGTTATCTGGGTGAAGTTCGAGAAAAATTAGGCCCAAAAACTTGCAGATAGTGGAGAATATGGTGATAGGTTGTAGTAATCAGATGAGTCAAGGAAGATGGAAGGTAATAGTGTGTGTGACTGTACTTGAATTTCAGAAATACAACCACATCTGTAGATGTAGACGCAGGCAGATATATTTTGGTTGGGGGAGTGGGGGGAAGAGTTGCAGGTTGTTGGCAAATTTATTGTGATCAATGATAAATTAGGATGTTGTTATGCTAATAGAAGCCCTGTGTAAGTAAGGAAAGTAGAAAAAAAAAGTCACTAGCTAGGTGATCATATGTTGACAAGGCCACATGGAGACTGTTGCTTCCTTTTATAGTCCTTTTTCACTAAGAGGGACAACTGGAGGATGTCCTAGGAGGAGTGGCTAGGATGATTCAAAGGCCTTAGACCAGGGGTGGGCAAACTTTTTGACTCGAGGGCCACAATGGGTTCTTAAACTGGACCGGAGGGCCGGAACAAAAGCATGGATGGAGTGTTTGTGTGAACTAATATAAATTCAAAGTAAACATCATTACATAAAAGGGTATGGTCTTTTTTTTTTTACTTTTATTCATTTCAAATGGGCCGGATCTGGCCCGCGGGCCGTAGTTTGCCCACGGCTGCCTTAGACTCTTATCATACGTGAAATTGTTGAGGAACAAGAATGTTAATGAACTGAAAGCCATCTTACAATATACAGACATCTTTCCTATGCAAAAAAGAGCAGGCTGTCTATGGTTTAGGGCAGCAGTTGCCAACCTTTCGGATCTCACGGACCACCAGTGGTTTGCTGACCACCGGTTGGCGACCGCTGGTTTAGGGAACAGAATCAAGACCATTGAGGAGTCATACCTGAGTTTAACAGAAGTAACAATTTCTAGCATTCAGAAGTGTGCATAGATAAAATAGACTCTGCTGTAGACATTATCATTTCTCTATTTCTGAGTGCATGGGTGACTCCAGGAACCTCGCTAAAGTTAGGCATGGCCACATGACTGGTTCTCGCCAAGGAAACCCGAGTCAAAACTAAAGTGTTGCTTCTGATACAAAGTGTTGTATGTAAATCAAGACTCTTCAGCCTTCCTCTTCTCCTGCCTCAGTGAACACTGAAGCCTTGTGTTGAAGTGCAGGTGCCACTCAGCCTTTATCTCTGAGTGATTGCAATGATGAGAATCTCCCAAAACCACCACACTGCCCTCCCGGACCCAGCCTCACACCTACATCGGACAGGAAACTTGAGTGGAAAATAAGCCTTTGCTGGTTCTAGCCACTGAAGCTCATGGGTTTTGTTATATTTGCATAACCTTTTCTAGCCTAACTAACACAAGTGCCTTCAAAATGCAATTGTTCCTATGAGTAAGCATTAGCAAGGCAACATTGTGTTCCTGAGACACACACACACATTGCATTCTTTGTCTTTTATTTTTATTGCTACACTACAGTCAGACTGTTGTTGGGGGCGTAACTTAGTGAACTGGAATTTTCAGATTGTTCCAGGACTTCCTGGGAGATGATCCTGATAAAATAGGCTATTTATTATCTTCTGTAACTCAACTTCATGCCTAGCAACCCCAAAAATTTATGGATCCTGTCCACAGGGGACCAGCCAACAATGATTAGATAGTTCACTCTGCAAAGATTCTATTGCCACATAAATACACACACACAACATTATCTATGAAAACTGTGGTCTACCAGAAATCTCAGGGCCAAAGTGACTTTTTGAACATGAACTTCTCAGTTTGGAACTTAAACCTTCATATTGGCAGGCTATTGCCACGTGTCTGTTTCAGTCTGTGCATATAGATGCATTAGTTACCTACTAGAGGCCCGGTGCACGAATTCATGCATGGGTGGGGTCCCTTGGCCTGACCAGTGATCGGGGCCGATCGGAGCCATTTCACCCAGTCCCGATTGGGGCCAATTAGAGCTAGCTGGGGGGAGGGACCTCAGGAGGTTGGCTGTGGGAGCACACTGACCACTAAGGGGCAGCTCTTGCATTGAGCGTCACAGCTACCAGCCAGTCGTCTGATCATAATGGTCACTTAGGCTTTTATATATATAGAAAACAAAGTTTCCCAAGGATGCCCTTGGTTCCATCTACAAACCCATGGGTTCTCTCAGGAACCCATGCAGCTAAATAAAGCACACAGCATGCCATCATGTGCCCACTTAGTGTTGTTGTTAAAGTTGTTCTCTGGTGGGCAATATCTGACATGTTTATACAGTGGTTTTGTCTGGGGAAGATGCTTATGAGGTGATGTGAACCAGGAAGTGAAAGGAACAAAGTGTGTGCCTAGACTGAAAAGAAATGGAGAAACAGAATTAAAAAGTGATTCCAATGGGGGGAAAATGGAAAGGACAAATTTAAAATTATAATTAAAAATACATATTAATCCATATATATGCAAATATATATATTTTTCTGTATATAGCAAACCAAACCCACAACTAATTAATGAGAGCCTTACTTTTGTTGTTCACAGGAGACCAAAATCAACTGTGTTCGTCTTGCTACGAAAGGTATGTTGGCATGTTCTTTTCTGTCTTCAGCCATTCTTTAGTCACTTAAGTATTCCTCCCTCTAGCCCAGGGGTGGGTAAACTTTTTGACTCGAGGGCCACAATGGGTTCTTAAACTGGACCGGAGGGCCGGAACAAAAGCATGGATGGAGTGTTTGTGTGAACTAATATAAATTCAAAGTAAACATCATTACATAAAAGGGTATGGTCTTTTTTTTCAATAGTTTTATTCATTTCAAATGGGCCGGATCTGGCCCGTGGGCCGTAGTTTGCCCACGGCTGCTCTAGCCACACAGGGAGAGGTTAGGCAACAAAAACAAGAAAGAATTGTTAATTTTAGTGGAATCATTTGCATCTAGGCATTAATGTATACCTGGCTGTGTATATATTAATAACACAGTGCCTAAAGGATAGCAAGAGCTCAGAACATATTTGTTGAATCAGTGGATGGATGAACTGGTACAATAATCAGTGGGTAATATAAATTTACTCAAATATTCTTCTGCTATATATTCTTGAATTTAGATCTTTGTTTATGTTGAAATTTTTAAGCATGTCTATTAAACCAATCTTATGGGTTTTGTACTTTATTCAATTGGCACATGGCTTTCAAAAATGAGGTGATTACTGTTGATGCCTTTAATAATGAGAAAAGAAACATGGCTTTATTTTGTAGTTGGCGTTTTCAACACTTCCTCCAAAAACTAAGGCGGCGTTGTTCAGGCTCATCACTTTTTTTTTTCCTAATTATAACTGAATTGTCTGCCTCTTTCAATTGGTACATGTTTCTGTTTATTACTCTTTTTAAAAAATCGATGAATAGTTTGTTATTTAACCTATTACAGGGTTGAATAGTTAGCTATCAGGTTTATCTTTTTGTTATAGAATTGCTATTTTTAACAGCTATCCTTCCAATATAAACACACCAAAATTGGGCAGTTCTATTTTGTTCCCTGCTTTTATTGACAGCATATATAGTTTTATAGGTTGCTTCCTTAGAGATGACCATTATAAATATAGTCATAGATATAAAGTATAGATAAAAACAATGACACAACTACATATATATGTATGTATGTATGTATGTATATATATAATATGAATATATAGATTCATATATATATGAATATATAGACACATGCACACATATAGAGAAAATGCACAGATATATGGGGAGGGGAGACAGATTGAGACATAGAGAGACTGAGAGAAAGAGAGAGGGGGAGGGAGGGAAGAAGGGAGGAGGAGATAGAAGAAAAGAATATCTACGGTTATTTGGCAAACATGTGCCAAGACCAGCCAAGCACAGCTTTTACAACCTTGAAGAAAATAAGATCAATTTGTAGGCAGAACAGAGAAGATGGGAGAGGACAGGGAGAAGACAGGGCACTAAGGGCTCATTGTAATAAGAACTCCTCCTGATTTCACAGAAGTCATGAGGGGTCAGCATGTCCCTAACTTATTCCTTCTGGGGAACTCAGGCTACTAGACAGAAAGAAATAAAATACCCTTTGTGAGGAGGCCAGGAGAACTGATGGCCTGCAAGCAAAAGTGACACAAATCACAGCCTTGCAGACTTTTCCCCTGAAGAAAACAGATCATCTGGAAGAGGGACACCATCCATTGGGTAGCTCTAGAGCTCTAGGCGGCAAGCAGGAAAGCTGGGTGCCTGCGGTGACCGGCTGCCTGTGTAAGCAGAGAGAAGGAACTTACGTAGAAACCCTCCCTGTGATGCTGCTCCATGCTTCCCCTCTAGCCTTTGATTTCTAAACAAGGGAGGGTTGATGTGGTCGTTCTGCCCACCATGGGGTATGTGGGCATCTAAGGATACCCTCTGAGACATAGGCCACCTAACAAGTAGTTTGTTGGATCATATCTTAAGAATTGGGAACATGTGACTGGACAAGCAGTAGGTATATATGGGGACTCTGAGAGTGCATACCACCATGCTTCCTGGGACGTTGAGGACCCACTGTGCGCACACAGAGGCCCATCCTGGCATGCTGCTGCCGAACCACCTTGCTGGTCTGTGGGAGAACTGAGTGGTCCTTATAGAACTGCAGCAGAAAGCTCTCACCTCTCCTCAGCACCCTTAGGTTTTCTCCTCCTGTTTGACCTTAGAGATCACAGTCACCCTTATTGGAATGTGTGCACCTAGAAGGTCTGGAGGGATAGCAACACATGAATGAATGATATGTGCCCAGCTGGCCATGCCCCAGCAGAGCTTTGAGGAGTCGGGAGTCAGAGTGGCTCTGAGCAGCCACACCGGGGTTTCCAGTTCATTGAGGGCCGTCACTGTGGCCCCGAGAGCGGGGCTCCAGCAGCACATGGGAACGGGGCAGGGAGCTGGATGATGTAGAATGCCCTCCACCACGCCTCAGGAAGGGATACCACACAGCACCCATCAGATAAGAGGGCACTTGGTGACTGCAGAGCAAAGACGAGGGAAGGGACCTGCGTCTGGTTAGTGTCTCTGTGCCTGGCATTGCTAATGGAGCATCCTGGTTCATTAAATGCCAGGAGCCGGTCCATCCTTGCTGTTTCAAGGGACCTGGCATATATGGCATACTGTTCTTAATATATTTGCTCACCTTCTTGGCACTATGTGTTTTAACCAAGGTCACCTCTCCGAGAAAGGTTGTTTCCCCAGGTAGAGATTTTCCCCTGAAGTTAGGGAGGGAATAAAACCTCTTAACTAAGTGCCAGGCGGGTAATTAATCACTTTAACTACTAACAATCATGCTTAAGCTACATAATCTTTACTCCCTGGAATGGAGATCAGCAACGCCCTAACCTTTGGAATAGAGATTGATAGTATTAGAATCAACTGGTATAAATACAGATGCAACAAGACAACAGGAGGCAGACCTCAGAAGACAGACCTTAGAACACAGAACTTAGAACACAGAACTTAGAGACAGAACTTAGAAGACAGAACCTACACAGAGCCTAGAGACAGAAGAACTTCGCTGGAAAGAACATGGCAAAAGATCCTGGGTAGAACCTGTCTACAGAACTTGCCTGGAGAACCTAGAGACAGAACCTGGCTACAGAACCTGGTGACCGAACTTGGCTGGAGAACCTAGCGAGAGAACATGGCTACAGAACCTGCCTAGAGATCCTAGGCAGAACTTCTCTGGAGATCCAGACCAGAACTTGGCTGGAGATCCTGGCTAGGCTGCTGATCAACTGAACGCTGTCTCCGTGTCATTCCTTCTTCGCCGACTCCGTCCACACCTTTGGGGACCCCTGGACCTGCTGGGGTTGGACCCCAGCAATTAAAGGCAAACCCCATCTAAATCCATGCACTGCCCATGGGGCCTCTGTATCAGGATCGAAGGCTAGGAATCAATATTTAACCTGTCTCTTTCCTGAATCAAATTTCCCTCTTTGTGGGTTTGCTGAAAAGACTATTCTTTTTAATAGAGGAAAATACGATACCGGGAATCCCTCAGGCGCCAGGAGTATGGGAAGTCCCAGTGGCAGATTCCACGGGCCATCTGTTTCCTCCAGGCTCCTCCACCTCTGGCATTACGGCACCTCCTCAAGTGTCTGCCAGCGGCATCCAGCCCCTGGCGCGTGAGCTTCTGTGCAGGCTCGAGGCCAGGGCTCTGGTGAGAAAGCAGCTGCCTGTGTCCTGTCCCTGCCCGTGGTGACACCAGGCAGTGTGTGTGGTTAGCCCTGTGAGTCTCGCAGAACTGGAGGGCTGCCACTCGGAACGGAGCAGCTCCGAACACACACGCAGGGCCATGCTGACCTGACCCCAGGCTCCGCGCATCTTCTGTGAGATGCCACACCTTGTCTGCGTGTCACGTCACTGTGTGTCACTCCAGTGGAGTGCTGCCCGGTTTGGAGGGTTGCCAAGAAAAGGACCTGCATTGGTTTTCTGTGGCTGTTGTACCAAATGCACACAGATAGAGTGGCTTAAACAACAAAACGTACTGTCTCACAGTTCTGGAGGCTACAAGTCCGCCATCAAGCGCCGGCAGGGTTGGTTCCTCCTTAGGGCTGTGAGGGCAGGACCAGCTCCAGGCCTCTCCCCGGCTTCTGGTTGTTTGCTGGCAATCTTTGGGGTTCCTTGTCTTGTAGAAGGACCACTCCAATCTCTGCCTTCACCGTCACATGGCGTTCTCCCTGTGTGCATCTCTGTGTCCAAATTTCTCTGTACAAGAACACTGGTCATAGTGAAATTAGGGGCCCACCCAATTCCAGTATGTCCTCATCCTATCTAATTACATCTGCAAGGACCCTATTACCAAATAAGGTCACATTCTGAGGTACTGGGGGTCAGGACTTTAACATTTGAATTTAGGGGGGAGCCACTGTTCAACTCCAAATAGGAAGCATGCAGTTAGGGGCGTGTCCATGGGGTTCCCACCGGAGCCTCTGTCTATTCGCCATCCACAGTGCGATCCCATAGCTTTCAAGGCTGTGCAAGGAGCAGGAGCCAGCCCTGCCAGGGTCTGGGGGGTTAGAGGTCCAGCTTTGGCTGCTGCTCCCTTCAAAGGTGAGTGAGATGAGGTGGCCTCAGGCAGAGGACCCCGGTCTGTAGCAACAGGACCCACCTCAGACCCAACATGAAGATGGAGCATCAGGTGCTGATCCAATCACGGTCTGGGGGCTTAACAGGCTGGGCTTCCTGGGGAAGGAACCAGCACTTCCCTCCATGTTGACCACTAATTTGCCAATCAGGTGTTGCCACAGCAGGAAGTTCCTGGCGCATGTAGGCATTCGAAAAATGCCTGCTGAAATGAGCAAAGGCATTGGAGTCAGCATCTCACTGCAGCAAGGCTCAGAGGCCTTGGGGGTCTCCCTGGATCTTCCTGAAACTCAGCCGCATCCCATGTAAAGCGATCCCCATCTACCCGTTCATAGAACCTTTTGAACATACCTACTGCCAGTGGTTTGCTGATAGACCTGGTCTTTGTCAAAGAAAAACCCTCATTTGTTGTCTTTGTGGATATTCATGTGTAAATATCCCCTCCAGGTCCAGTTTCACAT